TTTATTTAAGGATTCTAATCAGATTGGGCTATATAGGCACCTTATAAGTATTTTTTTTAATAAACCTTATGAATACATAAGTGCTTCATCGTTATTAAACCGACAGTTTTTGAATAAAAGCCATTGATATTCTCTTATTGAATTGAGTGTCTAACAATCCTGTGAATTGTAATTTGTGGCTATGATGGCTGATCGGTTTTATCTTTTACTTTTTCTTCAATTTTTGTGCCACTCTAAACACCATTCCACTACACTAAATCAACTGGCTCTCACTGCTTGATTGCCACTACTTCTGTAAGATTTTCTGGTGGCCTTTTACTTCTATATGCATCCCACTTTATTCTATTAATTAGAACAGAGAGGATATAGGGAATTGCAATGGTAGTACTGAATGGCAACCAGAAAAATTCCGGAATGGAACACAACCCATTCAGCTACCTAGTCATAAAAATAGCAAAATTGCATCATTACCCATAAACTAGGAAAGCTTTTGACACAACATACAGCATGAGAACAGTAATATTGAGTTACCACGACAACTGCTTGATGCACTAAAATCCAATTTATTTATGCATGCACAATAAATATGAACAGCTTCAAGGAAGTTTAACAAAGAGATTTTTTTTTTCTCTATTCACAATGACAATAAAATGGTTTAGAGTTGTGTCCACATGTCAATATTGATATTGGCCGAAAGAGACCCTAGGTCTAATTTGAAATTTTTTGGGACACGTGCAGGTACCAGTAGTGCGTTTCAGTTCCCCAGGAAAAATTCAGGGAAAATTAGGGACAGCCTGTAGGCGCACTATAAAGTCGTATTCAGACCCCGAAACAAGTAAAGACCCCTCACCCTATTTCCTATCACGGTATTAAAGCTAAATAAATAATTAAATTGTACTGTGTGACTCTATAGATGTATAATTGATTAAGGTTGCCAATGGAACTCGAGTTTGATACAATGTTGGTCTGTTATTGTTTGATCTAATTTTCAGTATTAAATGCATCATGATGTTTGATGTAATTATGTTATGGTCTCGTATGCATGAATTATGGTTTCTTTTATTATAGTTTGTATTATGGTGAACCCGATACTGTGTTGTCTTGTTTGGTGTCCATTACTAGTTTACATGTTGTGTGTGATTGGATGATTGAAACCAAGAAAAAGCGCAAAAAGGTTATGTGAATTGATAAGTGGATAATGTGGACAGCCTGATTAGATATCCTGGGAGATGGTGGACGGACCGGGTCCGTAGGGAACCCTACCGGGAACGTGGTCTCTCATACCGGACGGGGTATGGAGACCTTATGTGTTTTGGCACCCATACCGGACGGAATATGGGGACGGCTCGTTTCACCCTCATACCGGACGGGGTATTGAGATTCATGGTTTTGGTGCCCATACCGGACGGGGTATGGGGACGGCCCAGGAATCAGGTTGTAAATATTAATGGTTCACGTGTAGAGGGGACCCCCTATGGATCCCCAGGGATACTAGTAGGTTGGTAAAAGAGGAAATCTGTTTTCTGATGATTGAAATGTAAAGGTGTGATATATGTTATGTTATAAAGTTCATATGATTTCATGATGATGATAATGTTATTGATTTCACATGTTATTTTATGGATCTCACCGAGGTAAGTGGACAGTAAAGGTTTTTATGTTAATAAAAGAGTTTATTATAAATTATGCTCCATTGGTCTTTTTGTGTTTTCTACCCACTTTTACTTCCGTGGCGGTGAGATAGTGTGATGTCTTTACTGGGCTGGTGTAACTCATTCCTTATTTAACCATTTCAGATCAGGAAGACATTGTTCCCGATCCCGTTCCGCAGGAAGACGGCGAAGGGGACGCCTAAAGACTCCGTAGTTATATTTATAGTTCTTATTTTCGAGTATCTCTTTTAGTTAGTTTGTTCTTTTATATTTTGAGCACGTTTTTGGTTTTTTTGTGTAAAGAATGTTAATCAAAATTTTTATTACACTTTCGCATTTGACATTTTTAATATACATCTTTCATTCTAAATTTCCGGGGCCGTTACATTCCTATGGAGAGATGAGGAAAATAAGAAAAAATTTCATCTTGTAAATAATGAAGAGATGAAAACTCCCATCAGTACTGGTGGCCTTGGTTTGAGATCCTTAAAGATTTTAAATAAAGTCTTACATGGTAAATGGGTGTGGAGATATTGGAATGAATTAAACAGTTTGTGGAAAAAAGTTGTTGACTGCAAATGGAACATGAAGGGATGCCTAAATCAGACTTTGATAAACTCTAGTAACTATGGTGTGAGTCTTTGGAAGAGTTTCTCTAAAGTGGGCAATGAAGTGCTCTAAATGGGAGGTGGGTAATGGTAAAAAAATTAATTTTGGTCAAATATTTATTGCGGAAACAATAATTTGAAATCCCGTTTCCCCTAAATTTATGCTTTATCCAAGGACAAACTAATGAGAATTGAGCAAGCGTTTGATAACAGCACTAACAGGAGTTGGAATATTGTACTGCACAGAAATTTGAATGATTGGGAACTTGAGGAGTTTGAAACTTTGATGGCTTTGCTGGAATCTATAAGAATTAGCAATGGAGAAGACAAGCTGATGTGGACTTTGAATAAAAATGGATCATTTAGCATCAAATCCTTCTATAACCACATTGCTGGCCAAAATAACAGGATCAAGTAGGTGTACCCAGCAAAAATGATATGGAAGGCAAACGCACCTCCTAGAATCTCTTTCTTTGCTTGGAAAGTTGGCAAAAATCGTATACTTACCATTGATAATCTCATGAAAAGAGACATTATCCTAACAAACAAATGCTACTTGTGCAAGAATAATTTAGAATCCTGTAACCATCTTTTGTTTTGGTGCCCTAGCACTTATTCTCTATGGTCCATGGTTTATGGTTTACTTGGCATCTGTTGGGTCATAGCTGGAACCGTCAAAGATGAATTGCTTGCATGAGAAATGATAAGCAGAATGAACAAAAAATTCAGACTCATCCCTCTTACCATTTTCTGGATTATTTGGAAAGAAAGGAACCATAAAACTTTTGAAGAGAAAAAAGATAACTTTAGCAATATTTTGAACAAATGATTCCATACTTTTTGTTCCATAATACTAGAACATAGCATCACCCATTATGATAATTTAGGGTCAATTGTAAATATGTTAATTGACTTGTAAATCCTTTTCTACATTGGTTGGCGCCCCCATGTTGCCCTATTTCGATATATTACTATACTTTCATCTCAAAAAAAAAAAAAGACCTTGAAGATTGGTTTCTGGATCTTATTTGTTGGGAGGACCCATGGGAAAGGCAAGAAGGATGCAGCTGCTTCAGAGTAGGCTTGTTTAACTACTAAAGGATTTAGGTTTCTCTAGTAATTGGTTTAGGCTTTGGTTTAACTAATTAGGGACTTGTTCTTTGAGTGCAGATACTTTCTGATTCTCAGTAGTGACTTTTGAGATTTTTTTATTATATCTACTAAAGCAAAGAGAACGACCAACATCTAGACTTAGAGGACTCTAAACCTTTCATTGAAGTTTTTCTCTAATGAATCAATTGCTGAGATTTAGGTAGAAATAAATAGGCAATACTTGATTAACTTATTCCCATAACCTACGACCCAATCACCATGAGTTTTGGCTTTATTTATTAGCCTATTTAATCATCATCATTTTAGACTTTCTTAAGTAGCCTACTTATTTAAGAGAACAGAAAAATACGAAGTTTCAAGACAAAAGACATGTAAATGAAACCAAAAAGACAGCAAAACAAATTCATACAACTCTGAGATTTGCCTTCTTTTTGCTTGCTGTCTGTGGATCCATCTTCAGCATTGCAAGATTTCTGCTTTTTTTC